GGCGAGGGAGCCTGTAGCCGGCAAACAGACCCCAGCCGGCTCCAGAGCTTTTTTTTTTGGGGGGGGTGCAGTTCACTCAGTGTGCTGACATAGTCTGTGGTCTCTTTGCCCCACACAAGGTTTTGATTAAAATATTAGCACTGGAATATCTTGGTGTAGCACATTATTGGGCAGCCACCCAATAGTCAGGGTAAACCAGCCGGCATTTCCCAATAAATAGTGAGCTCGTGAGGGTCCCTAGAGGACCTTCTTTTGTGCTAAATGTCAGGAAGATAAACAATGTGTGTGAAGAACTCTAATGAAACCAGGCAAGTTTGTTGTAGAGTCTTCCAGGGCTTGTGGGTGAGCTGCAGTGGTTCGTATCCATGGCTACGTGGCTAAACCTGGAAACCGATCGGAGGCACCACTGCCCTTCCTGCCCCAGTCTAGCCCCCGCAAGGTGGCCTCCCTGCCCTGACGCCACTGATCTGGGCACCTGGGGCCACACACTGTGGTGACACCAAGATGGGGGTCATGATGCGCACTCTGCGCAGGCCTCTCCCCAGCGTCAGCGCAGAGGCCTCCTCCTTTGCTGCAGAATGCTGCTGCAGCTTGGTGATTCTTGGGAGGGAGCCAGAGAGAGTGCGACCGACCGTCACTCCCATTCTGCAGTCACCTCATTGGCTGCCTGTCAGTCACCGGGCTCCATTCCTGGCCTTGGCTGCCCCACGCAAAGTTGTTGGGCGATAGTGAGATATTGAAAAAATGGTATTCAGCAGAGATAAGATGATCCAGCAGAGCCAGAGTAAGATAATTCGGACTGAGAGTCCGTGTGTGATTAAAATATAAAGTGTTTACTAAATTCTAGCATGGGAAGGGTGACTGGGATGAAAACAACAACAGAGCATAATCGGCTACATCCTTACTCCACAAAGACAAAAACTAGAAGAGAGAGAGATTATGGACGCTCGTCTTGTTCTTCTTCAGAACACCAAAAACAAAGACGGGAAGAGAAGCCGTAAAATGGTAATACACCTTTCGTCCCAATCAAACTCCTAGATCAGGGAGAAAATTCCCCGGGCATTCTACAGCTAAAGGAACATTGGTTACATGAGAAACCTGTGACTTCCTGTGAGTAACATAAACAAACATTTAACCCCAGATATACGGAGTGTTTTCAACTTGTAATACCCAACAGGATGTCCTTCCTTCCTGGCCGTGGTCCCTCTCCTGTCTGCAGGACTGCCTGTTTCCCCTCTCTGCCCCACCACGACAGCTCCTCTCACCTGAGCAGGGCCTTCTGCAGGGGCCGCCCTGCCAATGGGCAGAATTAACAAGTGTCCACACAGGTGCCGGCCAGTGTTCCCTCTAAGCTGAGTGAGTGTGAGCTAGCTCACAGTTTCCTAGACTCCGGCTCACACACGTTTGTCCGAGCTCAGGAAGGGATGGGGCTCCAGAGCAAACTCTGCAGTAGCCAAACTGCTCTCTCACAGCTTTAATGCCAGCAGAACTTTTGTTAGCCAAATTGCCTTGAACTATTAATTCGTTTAGGGGGAGTTATGATTATTAATTGGCAATAGGCAAATTAGGGTTCTCACCAATGTATACAGAAGTCCCACCCTTGCTGTAAGTACCAGAACAGACACAGAGACTGTATTCAGTAAAATATAATGTCTTTTTACTGGGGAATATATATCATTCAAACAATACACAACCACACACACATTTATAGAACTAAGGAAGCAGAGGTGATTGATAGTTTATAGAGGGGTTATACAACCTGGTCCAGATGTGCAGAGGTCCATGGATTGTGGCCTAAACTCAGAGAGTTTAGGGGTGGACTGCCATTTTGGATTATGGCAGAAAACACACGGGCTGAGGCCATGTTTACGCTGGGATATACCCTATGGAAGACAATGCAGACCAATGGCTGGTCCTGGGGGCTGGTCTCAGGTGAGAACAATAGATTTCCTGGACCAATGATGAGTCCCAGGGGTGTGTGGCATCAGGATGGGCCAATGAGCTTCCAGAGAGGCAGGGTCTGGATTTAACAATAGAAGCCAGGTGCTGGGTGGCTAGTTGAATGGATTATCTGGCCACTAATGGTCCTGGCCAGGGTAAACAAAAGGTGGGAGACGTCCCTGATTAGCGTCAGGAAGGATCGTTAATAATTTGAATGCTTGATTGGTTTATCCCGGTAGAAAAGACAAGTATTCAGACAAAGAATTAAATAGACTTTAGAAATGTAGATACTTTACCTGCTAGAACTCATTGTTATTCCATAAGCATAATCTCTGCTGGGTGGAGGGGGAAGGCTGGAGGCTTGCTCTGAGGTTGCCTGTCACCTGAAAATGGAGACCCCTTTTTCAGAGCTGTGGCTAGCTCTGTGTTTCAGAACCAAGAGTGCCTTCCTTGGCCTGAAGTTTGTGGGTTTCTGGATCAGGTTAGAAGTGGGGTGCTCCTACTATTGGGGCTACCCAAGAGTAAAAGGCAGTGCCTCTGGCAACACTTTTGCTCACAAGGGGACTCCACAGCTCAGAGGGAGCCTGGGTCGAGGCTGATCCTCGCCCGGAGAGTGGGGCACGGCTGGGAAGGGATGAGGGGTGCCGGCCAGTGTTCCCTCTAAGCTGAGTGAGTGTGAGCTAGCTCACAGTTTTCTAGCCTCCGGCTCACACATTTTTGTCTCAGCTCAGGAGGGGGTGGGGCTCCAGAGCAAATGAATTTCTGCAGCAGTCAAATCGCTCGCTCACAGCTTTAATGCCAGCGGCTCACCAAGTAGAATTTTTGCTCACGAGGAGACTCCACAGCTGAGAGGGGGAGCGTTGGTGCCTTCTCCGTGGTGGCCCCCACCTTGTGGAAGAACGGCCTCTGCCTGAGGAGGCCAGGCAGGCGACAGGCAGGACTATCAGGAGGGCTCTTCTACCCAGCAAATGGGGCTGTACTCTAAGGAAGCGGCTCAGAAAGATGACTGAGTAAAGGGACACAAATGGCTGTGTCGCCATAAGTGTGGCTCCTGCTGTGTGAATTCTGCATTGTTTAGTGCGTTGTGTTTAGAGGCTTATGCTCTGTATAGGGTTTGCTTCAGCTTGGTGTAGGATTTCTGCCCATTTCCAGGTGTCTGCAGTCCAAACCCGACTGCATCGTTTCCTGGCTGTCCCAGGTCCTGCTGACGGTGCTTGACTCACGTGGTGCGATCCGCCTTCGGTCTCCCTGAGAAAGGCAGACCGTACAAAATAGAAGCAGAGAAGTGAGTGGGCCTCACAGTTATTCGTGAGCTGGCCGTTTAAAAGCAGCATTAGTACTGGTGATAAATCTTTACAATATATTCTTTTTTCACACACTGGGTGTTTGTCGTATAAAATGTTATGCAAAACTTAATGGATAAACACTTCTTTAAAAACTGCAAAGGGCTGCGGTGGTTCACGTGGTTAAGACACTGAACTGCAGACCGGAAGGTCAGTAGTTCAGCAGTTCGAGACCCGAGTGCCACGTGACGGAGTGAGCTCCCTTCTCTGGCCCCAGCTCCTGCCAAGCTAGCAGTTTGAAAGCAAGAAATTGCAAGTAGATAAATAGGTACCACTTCGGTGGGAAGGTAACAGCGTTCCGTGTGCCTCGGCATCTAGTCATGCCGGCCACATGACTATGGAAACGTCTTCGGACAGCGCTGGCTCTTTGGCTTGGAAACGGAGATGAGCACCGCATCCATAGAGTCGGGTTCGACTGGCTTTCGAGCAAGGGAGACCTTTACCTTTACTAAAAACTGCAACCAGTGTAAGGTTGATGTTAATTTCTAACATGGCACCCTGCCGGGATCTGCCCTTGGTGATGTTTCCCATTGACCATCTCCCCTCCTTTCCAGAACCCATCCGTGTCCCAGCTTGAAAGTGACTGGAAAAGGTGGGGCACAAATGCAGCGGGAGGTGAAATCAGCATGTGCCAAGACAGAGCTGAGAACCCAGAAGGAGCCGCGGGGGGGGGGGGGGGACGGACGGATGGACGGACTATGCACTTCATTGGGAAAAAACAGGATTTCCTGCTTCATCTTTCCATCAAATGTTAATGGGGGGGGGATGTGCATGGGTGGGTGAGAAGGCTGCTTAACTGTCCCTCATCTACCCTGCAAAGCCACCTACCACTCAGTGTTACAATGCCCTCCCCACCCCCTCCAATCCTGTCTTGGGATGGCAGCATTTCAGTGGTTAACACACACACACACACACACACACACACACACACCCCACACACACCCTGCTTTCATTGTCCTCCAGCTGTTCCTGGGAGAGGAGGGATGACAGGGAATATTCAGTGAAGTTCCTGCCATTTGTAGCAGCCCTGAAAAGAGCTTTGCTTTGCGTCATGGAGCCCAAATGAAAGCAGATGTTCCAGACCTAAAATAGATGACTATACACAAAACAGATGCCAGTACAAACCAGTGTCTCCATTCCCAAACCCAGGCTTTAAATGTAAAAATAGTTACACATTTCAACTACTCCACCCCTTCTACCCCCCCAGAAATGCCCGTGGAATTTATTTAATTTACTTATTTTGTCTGCTTTTCACACAGAGAATCAAAGCAGATTCCATGGTGTAAAATAATAGAATCAAATAACATGAGAGATCCAATAAGCAATGCAATAGGCCTAGGGTTACAAAAATCAGAAAGTGCTAAAAAAAGTCAGACATGATATGTCAAATGATGCAGCTAATGGAATTACAAACATAAAAAGCACTGCAGTATCAGCATAATAAAATATACAACAAATAGATAATAGAAGGGAGAGACCAAGGATGAAAGGGTTATTCTAACAAATGCCAGAGGTCCAAGTTTCCAGATGTTCTAGGTGGCATCCTCGAGCCCTCCAAAGGTTTTAGGATTTCTGCCACACCAACGGAACCTCTATCTCGTCCTACCCCGAGTCCCCAGCAGCAGGTACAGACACTGGAAATGTCGGCTCTAGCTAACAAAACACTCTGGCGAGTGAGTGCCACAACAGCCTGATAGAACACAGACCCCCCCTCCCATCCCACCAACCCTAGGATGGTGCTGTGCAAGGAAGCCGGAGGTGGGGCGGCCTTGGGAGAGAGCCACCCCCTTCTTTGCCCACCCAGCTCTCTGTGAGGCATACCAGGTCAGCCTACCCAGCCAGTGTTTGAGGAATGCTTTGCTGTGAACCGTAGACAGGAGCAGCAGCAGCAGCAGCACTTTTAGGCTTGATGGATGATTAGCAAGATTTATTTATTTTTAGTTATTAGTTTTTTTAGTCACTGGTTCCCTGAAGGGTCTCGTGGCAACTACAATGTTATAACTAGTAAGGTAAAAACAACATAAAAACAAACAAATAAAAATATGAACAATGAAATATTACATTATTAAAATATGTGGCTATCACCATACCAGTAATAAAAACAGCCCAAACATGTGATTACCCTCCAAAGGGCAACCTAAACAATTCAGCCTTGCACGCCCGGTGGAAACGGAACAAGTCTGGCAGGGCACGGCCGTCACCCGAGAGTGCCTTCTGCAGGGTAAGGGCCACAACCGAGAAGGCCCTGCCCCTGGTGAAAGCTAACCGTGCCATCCTGGGGCCGGGCACCTGCAAGAGGCCCCTAGACAATGACCGAAGGGAGCACCGGTGGTGGTGGGGGTTGCGATGGGAGCGGCGGTCCTGTAGGTATGAGGGTCCCAGACCGTGAAGGGCTTTAAAGGTTAACACCAGCACCTTGAATGGGATCCAGAGACTAACTGCTAGCCAGTGCAGCTGCCGCAGAATTGGAGTGATATGAGCTGACCAAGAAGTTCCGGTCAGCAACCTGGCAGCTGTCTTCGGGACCACCTGTAGTTTCTGAAGTTGGGAGTAAGCAGTGAAGTGGCTAAATTTGCGGATGATACGAAGTTGTTCAGGGTGGTGAAAACCAGTGAGGATTGTGAGGCACTCCAAAGGGATCTGTCAAAGATGGGCAAGTGGGCGTCAACGCGGCAAATGGGGTTCAATGTGGCCAAGTGCAAGGTGATGCACATTGGAGCCAAAAATCCTAAATATAAATACACGTTGATGGGGTCTGAACTGGCAGAGACTGATCAAGAGAGAGATCTTGGAGTTGTAGTAGATAACTCACTGAAAATGTCGAGACAGTGTGTGACTGCAATAAAGAAGGCCAATGCTATGCTGGGGATTATTAGGAAGGGTATTGAAAACAGATCAGCCAATATAATAATGCCCCTATATAAATCAATGGTGAGACCTCATTTGGAATACTGTGTGCAGTTCTGGTCACCACACCTTAAAAAGGATATTATAGCTTTGGAAAAAGTGCAGAAAAGGGCAACTCGAATGATAAAAGGGTTGGAACACTTTCCCTATGAGGAAAGGTTAAAGCACTTAGGGCTCTTTAGCTTGGAGAAACGACGACTGAGGGGTGACATGATTGAGGTTTATAAGATTATGCATGGGAAAGAGCAGGTAGAGAAAGAGGTACTTTTCTCCCTTTCTCACAATACAAGAACCCGTGGGCACTCCATGAAATTGCTGAGCGGTCGGGTTAGAACGGATAAAAGGAAGTACTTCTTCACCCAAAGAGTGATTAACACTTGGAATTCACTGCCACAGGAAGTGGTGGCGGCTACAAGCATGGACGGCTTCAAAAGGGAATTAGATAAGCATATGGAGCAGAGGTCCATCAGTGGCTATTAGCCACAAGGGATAGATAGGGGCTCTGGGGCAAGTGATGCTCTGTCTTCTTGGTGCTTGGGGGGGGGGTCAACAGTGTGGGGGGCTCCTGGGGTCCTGGCCCCACTGCTGGACCCCCTGAGGGCACCTGGTATTTCTGGCCACTGTGTGACACAGAAGAGTGTTGGACTGGGTGGGCCACCGGCCTGATCCAACATTGGTGTCTCTTACGTTCTTATGTAAATCCCTCCGATGCCAGCAGCTCCTGGCCATCAGCTGCTTCTTTCTGGCAGCCTCCCACAGTCAGGATTTCAGAGCCCAGGTTGGCCAGGAGCCTCAAGGCAATGCGGGGGTTTGTTTGTTTGTTTGAAAAGAAGCCATTCGCCCTTTGTGTGTGTGTGTGTGCTGCTTCTTTCTGGCAGCCTCCCACAGTCAGGATTTCAGAGCCCAGGTTGGCCAGGAGCCTCAAGGCAATGCGGGGGTTTGTTTGTTTGTTTGAAAAGAAGCCATTCGCCCTTTGTGTGTGTGTGTGTACCGTCACCTGCACATGATAACACCCCTTTGCTTCAGCCCAGTTTCGGAGGGGTGGGGAAGCAAAGGCTGGGTGACTGTCATTCTTTTCCAAGTTAGGTTAGAAATCTCTCTCTGTTTTTATTTCCACGCCAAGAACCTGCACTCTCATTGCTGTAGCCTGTATACCTTCTAGAGATTTTACATCACGGAATAAAGTTTTGTGTTGCTTAAGAGAGGAAGAGGCTGCCTTGAGTTCTCACACTTGCTCCTTGCTGTGCCAACGTTTACAAACAGCCCCGTTTGATGGCCCTCCTGGCATCAAACTGCTGAGAAGGGCAACTTCCAGGAGGTGGTGGCAGCTACCCCCAAGGTGGCCCCAAGTGCTTAAGACAGTGGGGGGAGCAGTGAGGGATCTGTACTGGGAAGGATGGGTTCCCTCAGACAAACAACCCCCCACCCCACCCCACCCCACCCCGTCTGGCCTCTGATTGAGGTTGCTTCTCCTTCACCTGCTTGCTGTTGTCTAGATGCACAACAGACGCTGGGGCAGGAAATGTGGCAACCGTGAGCCCTCTGTGTTAGTGGCCTGACTGGAACAAAATCATCCTACATCAAGGATGGCATCTGTTGTGTTCTAAAAAGCACCAGCCTGCATGTTAGCAGATTCACACAGACTCTTCCCCAGTGTTAGCCAAATTGCCGTATATATCTATTAAGCTTGGGGAATTATGATTTAAAAGTAGCAACTGGCATATAATATAGAAGAAAAAGAAGAAGAGACTGGATTTATATACCCCATGGCCCTTCACTACCCGAAGGTGTCTCAGAGCGGCTTACAAAGTCCTTTCCCTTCCCCTCCCCACAACAGACAGACACCCTGTGAGGTAGGTTGGGCTGAGAGAGCTCTTGACAGAAACTGCTCTTTTTCTAGGACAGCTCTTGCGAGAACTACGGCTTGCCCAAGGTCATCCAGCCACGTGCAAGTGGAGGAGGAGTGGGGAAATCGAACCCGGTTCTCCCAGATTAGAGTCCGCGCACTTAACCACAACACCAAACTGATCATAACCCGCGTACACCAGAGTCAGAATTCCCAGAGCCTGTGAATAGACAAGGAGACCAGGTTGCTAACCCTAACCCTAACTTAAAACTCTCAAACATACAATAAAATTGGCAAACGCACACACTCAGTACAGCACTAGGAAAAGCAGATGTGAAAAGATAGTGGTATTTACATTAGCAGGAAGGATTGTTGGGGGGAGGGGTGATACGTTACCCGTCAATTGAGATGAGCCACTCTTGCAGTGGGCGAATTTAACTCAGAAGACCATTATATCTACTACTGTGGCCAGGAATCTCATAGAAAAAATGGTGTGGCCTTTATAGTCAACAAGAGAGTGCATACTGGGATACAATCTCAAAAATGACAGAATGATTTCGGTCCGATTCCAAGGCAAACCATTCAACATCACAGTAATCCAAGTCTATGCCCCAACTACTGATGCAGAAGAGGCTGAAGTGGACCGGTTCTATGAAGACCTACAACACCTCCTAGAACTAACACCAAAAAATGATGTCCTCATCATCATAGGGGACTGGAATGCTAAAGTAGGAAGTCAAAAGGTAACCGGAATAACAGACAAGTTTGGCCTTGGAAAGCAAAATGAAGCAGGGCAAAGGTTAACAGAGTTTTGTCAAGAGAACACACTGGTCATAGCGAACACCCTTTTCCAACAACCTAAGAGGCGACTCTACACATGGACATCACCAGATGGGCAACACCGAAATCAGATTGACTATATAATTTGCAGTCAAAGATGGAGAAGCTCTATCCAGTCAGTAAAAACAAGACCTGGAGCTGACTGTGGTTCAGATCATGAGCTACTCATTGCAAAATTCAGACTTAAA